AACATTACTTCTAATTACGTAAACGTCACTATTTAGTGTGTACACGCGCTTGAGTCGGCATAATTGTTATTTTAAACAGTTGACGCCAATCGGTCAAGAAATCGAGAATTTAACATTCACAGGACATTTCGAAGGCCAGAATACTCTATAAAATACTGAGTAATTTACATAATTGAATGATTTGTTTTTTACGGCTTATCAACCTTTTACAGGTTATTTAAAGCCAGAAATTCTTTTTGATCGTAAGAATTTTTGCAACATCAAGCCGTCCTGGGATAGGACGATAAACTACATCTGACAGCAAGGTCTTTGATCAGAAGGTTTTGAGGAGCGTGGAATATTAATTGCTGGCGTTCCCAGGTCCACCCTAACCCGGGGTTTTAGCACCTGTCAGGGTCCCAGCTATGGGAGAATAGTTAATACTCCAAAAAGTGTCAAAACACTATGAAAGTATAAAAATAGGTTTTTGATATCAGCAATACATTTTTTGAAAAAAATTTACCAGCAATACATTTTGAAAGAAATATTACCAGCAATACATTTTAAAAAAACAAAAAATTACCAGCAATGCATTTTTTGTTTAAAAAAAAATTACCAACAATTTAAAAAAAAAAATTACCAACAATATACTTTTGGAAAAAAAATATTACTAGCAATTTAAAATCATTGTCGCCATTGAGGTTGATATGCCGTAAAACAAAAGAAACCAAACCAATCAAAATCAAGCCTGGCCAGTACCTAGATGCGTAACCGCTTGGGAATACCAGGGGCTGTAAGCTTGGAGATGCGGTTGGTATAATTGATAACGATTCCGAATTGGAAATCGGAGAGTCGAGTTCCAATTCCAGTCGGGTCCGTTATATACATTTACACGAAAATACCCTTGAGAAAGGCATGAATCCACCTCTTCTCCCTGACACATCCAGGGGTTAACTGGTATGATTTGTATTAATAAGTAAAGATTCTAAAAAAAAAAAATTCTTAGAATCTATAAATATTTCTGGTTTAAATAACCTGCAAACGGTAGATAAGCTGTAAAAAAACAAATTAATCAAGCAGACTACTCGCTACTTTATTCTGCTTTTCTTAGCTTCGATATATCCTGTGAGTGTTAAAATCTCTAAACCTACTTTCTGCATTAATGCATCCCAGAAATGCGAACCTTGATGTTGAGTATCAGTGTCATTTTAGTTCCTACTTTTTGAAACTGCCTTGTTCTTCAGATGTTCACTTTCTTGTATTCTCAGAATCTACTTGTTAATCAAACAGATTTTATCATTTTAAACGTTATTTTTATGGATTCCCATATTTGGGTAGACGGCACGTTTACTTATGAGACAGTAGAAATTATATCAAAGAAAGAGAAGCACTCTTCGACAGGAATCAAACCTGCCTTCCCCCTTTATCGGAGAAACTGTCGTTCGATTCGACGTATCAATAAAGTCGAATAGCGCCGTAATAAATAATTATACTGTTTAATAAATAAACGGAGCGGCTACTCGAATATGGGCATCTATAAAAATAACGTTGAAACTGATGAGAGCCGTTTATAAATAACTTTTTTAGAAATGCAAATAAATCAACGGCAAATTCTCTCCGTTCGTTCGTGTGTCTGAAGCATATTATACCTTTTGGGAAACAAATCTGCCCTTCATCTAGGGCCTGAACATCCAGCATTGGGATCTGTGTCCAGATGATTAGGGAATATGTAAAAATTCAAATTTAAAAAATAACTTAAAAAACTAGTGATTTTACAAGTTTTTAATTGATATTGAGTTAAAAGTAACAAAAAAAAAAAAAAAAAAAAGAATGTGAATTAAAAAATTGTTTTAAATTCAGTTTCAAATCTACATTATTCGGACTATTGAGGACAGTGGATAAAGGCGTTCGTTATATCCACTGATAGGACTCAAAAGAGTGTGAGTTCAATACCAGGTTAAGGCAGTGGTGAACTTGGAGAGGAGAATTAACAGGAGATAACTGATAACTGACATCCATTAGACATGGCACGTGGAACTAGAACAGTGTGTCCCAGTGAGCGAAATAAAGTGTTCAGTTCGACATTCCAACCACCTGAAGAAGACCGGAGCGTACAGCGGACGAAACGTTGTAATAAATATGGCGACAAAGATGAGGAAAATAGTCCGAATAATGTAAATATTGTGCATAGTACCTCATCACAGAAATATAGACAGATACTGAAAGGCCGAAACGTTGTAATAAATATGGCGATAAAGATGAGGACAATAGTCCGAATAATGTAAATAGTGTACATAATACCTCATCTCAGAAATATAGAAAGATACTGAAAGGACGAAACGTTGTAATAAATACGGCGAAAAAGATGAGGACAATAGTCCGAATAATGTAAATAGTGTACATAATACCTCATCTCAGAAATATAGACAGATACTCAGTTTAAAATATTTCCAACACTTCGTGAATTAAGGAAACCAATTTATTTCTTCGAAATGCCAAGGAATCATAGTTATAGTGAAAGCTTTAGTGACGTGAGGTTTTGAATTTCAACAGGGTTTGTGATTGGAAGAACTCAATTGATGTTCAATCGAGTTTGTGATTTGAAGAACTCAGTCTTCGGCTTGGATTGGAATTTCTGCCCAAATTCGTAGTTTTGGCCCGAATCGGCATTGTGATCGGAATGGAACTTATAGTCTGAATGAGTATTAAAGTGAGGTTTTGAAGTTCCATGGAGTGACTTTAAAGTTATTTCTTCAAAGTTGCTGTTTTCTAAACTGAACCAGAGCTCCCTTTAGTTTTGTGTCGCAGGCGCAATTAGACCTCCACAGAATACGGTTTTGAAGCTGGCAAGAAATAAATTATATAAATATATATTTAATATTATATATATATATATCTATAAAAGGCAGGATCTGTGTGTGTGTGTGTGTCTCTGTGTGTGTGTGTGTGTGTGTGTGTGTGTGTGTGTGTGTGTGTAACGATTGCACGGCCCCAATTTTCGAAGGATTTGCACCAAAATTTACATGCACATGCTCCAAGTTAGTGGAAGGCCAAGACCGACTTTGCATTTCCCAACTCCCATGGATAGTGGAAATAATCGATTTTTTCATGCTTCTACGGCAGTTTTCATGTAGTTTGCGGCCATTTTCTACTGGCCAGAGTGAGAGCCTATAGCTGGCTGCCACCAATAGGCAGGAAGATTCTATTTGCCAGCGTGAGAGCCAACAGCTTACTGACATGAATGTTAACTAGTATTCTAGCATGCAAAAAAATCGATAGCTGCATTCGTCACATGGTACTTTATTCCAATTGGCTCATTCGCTTGCTTAAACTCAACGTTGATTCTGATTCCGCAGAACTGGGTTGGGTGTGAAAAAGTATTTGTTGTTAACATTCTTTTTTCATTTGGTTTTTCCAGTTACGAGTCCTTTTTTTAAAGTTGATCGTTTTGTGTTCATTTTCTTTAGTTCCTTTTTCGTAACAGATTTAATGTTTAGTATAGAGCTTAGAAAAAATTCGCAGCAAGAAGTAAGGCATGTAGCAACATCAGCACGGCAAAGGGCACTCTTTTAAAGGCAAGGAAGGGCAAAAATATTTTAAGTCAAATGATAAGGATTGCTGTATGAGTTGTACGATTTTTGAATCAAGCACGGGCAATATATTCTTGTTAATTCAGTGATTTACTAATGCAAGTGTAGTTGTGGACTCGACTACATAGGGAGGATGTCCCAACGTTTGGATTCGAGAATAAAACAACCCAGGATTTTGAATCCGTCTGCCAGGAAGATCCAACTAACCAATATTTCTGGCTCTGCTATTGCTGAGCATATAATAAATAGTAGGAAATGTGTGGTTAATTTTAGTGTGGACCGTTTTTTGATTTTATCTAGGTCCTACTACACATTTCACCTCAAATTTATAGAGTCCTTGTATATCAGATCCCGTGGGCCTTCCCTTTGTAAACAGAGGTAATGCATACTGAGTCTGAATGTTATTGGACCCTAGTTTCATGAAATTCAATTTTTTTCTTTTTCATTCCATTCCATTCGTTAATTTAAATTAATTTTACACGCTTTTAAATTTTCTATTCTCAGAAAAAATAATCTTCATAAGTCCTGGGACGAAACCGGTTGTTTTTTTTTTTTTGTTGTTGTTGTTGTTTTTTTAGCTTTTTCTTTTAAAAATGCCATATAAATTTTGTCTTTTCCTATCCATTATTAAATTCTGTACCACAAAAAACTTATTTAAATATATATTTGTATATTATCTTTTCCATAATTACAAGTATAATTATTAAGCAAGTGTCCATGAATTGCTTTTATGTGTTGATTTTATCGTGGGTAATCAAATGACATGGATGAATAAAATGGAAAAATTGAATGAAAACAGATGAAAAGATAAAAATGTTTTATCAAACAATATACTGAATTTATTACTTGTTCATCGTAATAAATCCGCCCACAATTTCGAATTAAAGAATGCAGTTCTAATTGAATGAGAAAATAATTTATCAACGAAAAAAACATGTTTAAAGTTTACTAATTTCAGAATCTTTCACAGCAAATTTACACCGAGGATCATATAACATATCACTTTTCCTAAAAGAATTATTGCTGGTACACCGTTGGATATTAAAAAAAACAATGGCACTAAAAATAAAAACAAAAGCGATAGAATAATAAAATGTATCAGCTAGATCAAGATAAGCATGACATCAAAAATTTAAATTTAAAGCTCAGCGTTCCCGTATCGTCAGCTTTGATTGATCCGTTTTTTCGGTTCATCAACATTTTGCAGGTTATTTAAAGCCAGAAAATATATTTTTTTTATTTTTACGAATCTTTTTTTTTAAAGATAATAATGTTTTAGCGATACAGGTATTATTAATAAACCTATAACTGAGAGAGAAGATCTGGATTCCTACCTGTCCTTTGAGTATTTTGCTTCGACGGTAACTGGAATGCGACTCATCGATTTACTATTTCGAGCCATAATTCATTACACCACCCGCACATCCAAGGTTACAGCACCCGGTATTCCCAAGTGATCATCCGTCTAGGTACTGACCTTGTTCGACGTTGCTTAACTTCGTTGATCGTACGAGTACCGGTGTTTCAACCTGATGTAGCCTTATGCCTGCTCAGGCTATTACTCGTTCATCGTAATAAATCCGGCATTAAAGACTGCAATTTTAATTGAAAGTGAATATAACTTCTAAAAGCGAAAACATTGCAAGTCCACTGATTTCGGAATCTTTCACGGTAAATTTTGGCCCAGGATCGTACAACATGTCGCTTTTCCTAACAACATTTTTACTGATACAATGTGGGATATTTAAAAACAGTGGCGCGACTTTCATATCCTGTAATTAGTTTAATTCGCTCCACATGTTCATATAGTTTCCTTAACTTTTCATATCATTATTATTATTATTATTTTTTTTTTTTTTCAATTTTTTTTTAGTCATTTCTTTCCGGGTCCCGCCCAGAGACCTAAGGTCAGAAATGGCGTCATAACATATTCCATTGGCCAATTAAAAAAAAACAAAAACATACACACACACGCACACATTTCTGAATTATTATTATTATTATTATTATTATTATTATTATTATTATTATTATTCATGAATTCTATATTAAAATCAACGAAAGTATGAAATTAGTTCATATTAAAAGAAACAAAAAATTAGATTTAATGCTTGTTATTATTATTATTATTATTATTATTATTATTATTATTTTATTTCCTTTGATTTCTGATGTGTACTCATTTCTTTCCGGGTTGCAAATGGCATATGACATATTTCACTGGAAAAAACAACAACAGCAAAAAAAAAACCAAAAAAAAAAACCGAAAAAACAAACATATTTTACATAGATAAAGCCCTTCGTAAGGTGTGGGCTGTACTCGTGAGAACAATTTTTTGTGTTTCTTTAAGATATGGGCTACCAGGAATCCCTTCAATGAGTCTACTAGAATCTTTTCCAACCAATCCGAGGGCTCCAACTACAACGGGGATTGTTGATGTTCCTATGTGCCACATTTTTGTGATTATTATTATTATTATTATTATTATTATTATTATTTCCTTTGATTTGAATGTGTACTCATTTCTTTCCGAGTCTCCTCCATAGACCTAAGGTCAGAAATGGCATCATATCAGTTTCCATTGAGCAATTAAAACAAAACACACACACACACACACATACACACACATACACACATTTTACATAGATAAAGCCCGTCGTAAGTTGTGAGAACAATTTTTTGTATTTCTTTATGGCGTGGGCTTCCAGGAATCTCTTCAATGAGTCTACTAGAATCTTTCCACACAATCCGAGGGCTCCAACTACAACAGCGATTGCTAAAGTTCTCACGTGCCATATTTTTTAGATTTCGATTTCATTATTATTATTATTATTATTATTATTATTATTTCTTTTTTCTTATTTGCTCTTTGATACAATCATTTATCAAATATTTCATCTGAAACCCAAGGTAAATAAAAATATTTCTGAGGAAGAATTGAATTAAAAGATTTTTTTTTTTTAAAATATGGGAAAAATACTCATTAACATATATCGGAAGAGACAAGAGAAATTTCTGAGGCACACACTGAGGAAAGAATGCTAGGAAATTTTGATACTCACAGAGCAAATTGAAGGCAAGGGGGCCACAGGAAAGCCACACATAACCTAATAGGCGAGCCTGAATGAATGGATGGCGGACTAGAATGATTTGGGAATGATGACAAAAAAACAAAAGTTATTTAGAGCTTAAAAAGTAAGGAAATTGGGGAGAGCCATGGTTGCCAACGCCCTAAAGGGATACAATGCAAAAAAGAAGACGAAGACTCGTGAACACAATGTTTTGCATCTCAGATAAAGACGAATTTCTGGGAAACTTCTTAATGTGAGCACCGTTATACTTCCCATTCATTCCTAGTGTTCCTACTGCTACTGGAACCTTTCTCTTCTCTAATGTGCCGTTACCCTTCACGATGTTGGCGATTAGCGCTCTCTACTACTTCCTGTCTTCTGTGGCTCAGTAAGATTTGTCTTTTTGCTGTCTCACGTCAACCCAGTTCCATCAACCTTTTACACAAGCACGTTAGTTTGGTTCTTCACGGCTTTCCTTAGTTCCTCTTACTTCAGTATGACTTGTGAGTATCAAATTCGCCAAACCCTCTTTGATTTAAATTTTAATTTTAAATGTTTCTTTCTGATTCTAAGTATAAGAGTCCTTTTTTGTTTGTTTTCGTTTTCCTTAAAACTTTGTTCTTTAAACACATGTTCAGTCCATGGTATTCTCAGTATCCTCCTGTAGAACTACATTTCTGTCTCTTCTTCATTTGTGATGAGATTGTCCAGCATTCAATGCCATATAGGAACAATATTTATGCTTAAATGTCACATTACTGTATAATGATGCCGATAAAATGATACCGATAAACATACCGATAAAATATCATTTATACTTTTTGAAGTCTTTTGGTTTGGTTTGTTGTGTTTTACGGCATCTCAACCTCATTGGGTTATGCAATGCCGACAACTTTTTTTTTCCTGGTAATATTTTTTTTGTCAAAAATCTATTTCTGGTAATATTTTTTACTCAAAAATGTATAGCCGGTAATATTATTTTAAAACCTGTATTGGTGGTAATATTTTTTTTCAAAAATATATTGCTGGTAAAATTTTTTTTTCAAATGATTGTATATAAAAGTTTTTTTCAAAAATATATTCTGGTATTTTTTTTTTCAAAATCTATTTTAAAATGTATTTTTAATGGCTTTTTTTACACTAATGCTTTTACCTCAGTTTTCTGGGGTTAACTATTTTGCCAATAGTTGGGACCCTAACAGGCGCCACTATCCCGAGTCAGGGTGGACCCGAGAACACCATCAACTAAGAGGTGCTTCCACGCACCTCAAAACCTCCTGATCAGAGGCCTTGCTGCTGGACGTAGTTTATCGTCATACCCAGGACGGTGAAGTCTTTTATGATTTTATCTAGTCCATTAGCCGGCATAGTGTGGCCGGTGTGTTTGGTGAATTCCCAGGGTACCATCACCTTCTAAAACTGGTGGTGATGTGTGTTTATAATATTTTTCTATATAAAGTAAGTTTTATTATTATTGTTGTTGTTGTTGCTGCTGTAAATTTCATGCATTTGTATATTCTCAGGCAAATGTCTGCTTTTTTGAACGACAGCAAATCTCTCATCATATATCCAAACCCCTTGTCAGTATCTTCGGAAGCACCAAAAATGCAGTCACTTAAACAGTCTCATAGGTTCCGCAAATATCTGATTCTTCCAAATTTGGGGAAAATTGTGCTTAAGGCACGGTCTAAATATGTTTAATAATATCTTCACGACTAATAGTGTCATTAATATCTTATCTTGATAATGGCTTTACTTGTATAAATTTAGACTGTTACATGAAACCATTATCGATATTATTCAGTCGAGATCACCAGTACCGTAATCTATTAGTGTTATGGGACACTATGTGTACTGCAGCCATAACAGCAGTGGGTGCGTCTAGGGCAAACAGAGCTTGATAGTGACAATTCCTCTTTAGGTTGATTTTAAAATTCTGAGTTTTCCCTTCACATTTTTTAATCACAGTAGCAAGACGAAAATACACACACTGCTTAGACAAAAGAGGATATATAGAATAATGCCTTTCCTAAAGGCATCAGTGAAAAGTGAAGGGCATTGACTAGCCCAGAATTTGAACACGGCACGTCGATTCCATTTTCTTCGTTGATAACTGTGACGCTACATGCCGAACGGCTTACGTATAGTTCCGTCTTAATATTTATTGTCGCAACTCTCAGATTATTATTCTACAACTGTTAAATAAACAGCGTGTATCAGAATTAAAGAATATTGTCAGAAGGATGCGTGTTCGAAGAAAAAAATGACAGATTTGAGTGTTGTGTCCATTCCAAACGTGAATGATAATGGTAATAAAAATATTAGCAGTTTCCTTATAAGGAAACATTCGAAATTCATTGATTGAGCAGCCTGTACTCCTTTCGTTTAAAATTTACAAAATCTTTTTCCTAAAACATTTCTCCGTTTCAGCTGTTACCGCTCTTTCTTGTAGTCGTGTAGGTTTACTTCCTAATCTTTTGTTTGAGGTAACCTAAACATCTCTATTATGTCTTTGTTTGCTCTTCCTGTTACATGTGCTGTCCATTTTAACTGTTGCTGCTGTTGAACGTCCTAAAATGATGTGGTTTCTGTTATTTGGTAAAGTTATTTGTGAATCTTTAGCACCAATACACAAATCTCGAAGAAGTGAGGTTACGCCAAAACCCACAGGCTTCACTCGCTCAGAGCCATTTTTAACCATTGATTTGAGAAAACGGTTGTATACAGCAGACAGAGTTAACGGCTCTCCACTTTATGTCCATTGTAGCTCGAAGTAATTTTTTACTCGTTAACTGTCTTTGTCACCGCTCTGCCAGTCGTTAAGATTTTGAAGTTGAGGCCCACTTATCCCCTTGCAAACAATTTTCAAATTATTGAAGTTTCTAGAGATGCTATGATGAATTCCATTCTTCAAGCTTAGCCTTGGTTTTTCAAAAGAGTAGTTATGTGTCTTACGATATGGTTATTTGTGCAGATGACGGAAACACCTCGACATTGTTCTGGACAATTTATTTGCAAATTATTCTGTTTCCATTGGGTTATTATAGAGAACATTTTCATGCCCCAGCAGGTGTATCAAAGAAAACAAATTTGCTTCGAAATACTCCATTAAATCTATATACAGTTTCCTCAATTATATAAAGTACCTCGTTCCAGTGAATAAGAAATAATGGTAAATTCTATCTTCAAGTTTTACTAGAGAAATGGTGCTTTTTCAATCATGGGAGCATCCACCATTAAATCGATCCAATGATAGAGATATACATTTTTAACATCTTAACAATGGGTCTTTCATCATTAATTATTCTGTGTAATTGCGTCAGTCGATCCGGGATCTCTTTTTTATATTAATAACCTCATTGCAATAAATAAATAAATAGTAATTGATGAGGATTTTAGTGGCATCAAACCATCGTCAAGTAATGCTAGAAGGTTCCAAAAGTTTATTTTTCTTCTGTAGATTGGTT